AGAATCTTTGCTAAGCAATTCTACTATTTTAATTCTTTCCTTCTGCCATCTTTTAATAATCACTATGGTTTTTTTTATTGCATTAAGAGGCAATTAAGAAAGAAAAGTCTTTAATATTTTAAATCTATTTCATTTTTCTTACATAAAGCATTCCACAGCCATCCATAATAATTCAACAATATAGTGAGAAGATAGACTATCTCAGAGACCATGAGCTGAGCACCGTCGAGGAGGGAAAGTGCAAGGCTGTTGATTCTGAAAGCCCTTCACACACAACAATAAAAGGCAGAGACTCCTGATCAAAGGTAAAAATAAGCCACACATTAGTGCACATTCATGTGGACACATTAGTGCACATTCATGTGGAAGAGGAAAGAAAGTTCTGTCCTAAGGAAGAAGGTGTGACAAGATCTCATGTGTGGAAGCCCATTTTCAGGTTCCTGGTGGCTTTGCCCAGCAGGTCAGCAGAGAGGATGATCAGGACCACAGGCCTGAGTACAGGTGTCTGAGATGGTCTGCACTTGGCTGTGCTGGGGGGGGGTGGGGGTCTTTTGCTCCACCCCTTGGTGTTTCTATAAATACTTTAGGGCAGAGACAGTCAGGGCTCATTGGAATAGGTTCCAGGCCCTCTTGAGGCTATCCTTTATTTTCTATCTGTTTATCTCCATAATCTAAATCCTTCTATCTAATATTTCCTGCTGCTATCACTCAAGAAAACTCTGGGGAACGGTGGGGTTGGTGGGTAAACACCCCGCACTCATGATGTAGACTGACAGGACTGTTAGCTTCAGCCATCCACAGAGTTCAAAGGACATCACTATTTCACATGAACCTGGGCTCGCTGAACTGTATTTCCTTTGAGCTACAGTTGGCCCTCCATACCCAAGGGCTCAACAACCAGACACTGATTGAAACACAGCCCTACCCCACACTGCCTCTTCTAGACTGCTGTCCTGTCCCACGTGACCATCACTTCCAAAGCCTTTGCACTGTATGAAGTGCATTCTGGAGATGGGTTGTTTGTTACCATCGTTTAAAGCACAGTGGTCTCATGACCAGCCTTGGTCTCCACACTGCTATGTAACTGAGGCTGGTCTTGAACTCCCGATCTTCCTGCTCCCTCTCCGAAGTAGTATGATTATGAGCTTGAGTCCCATACTGGGTTTACAGATGAGTTTAAAGTATGTCAGAAAATGTCTGTAGGATTTTATGTAAAAATGATGGCTTTTCATACAGGAGATTTGAGCAGCCTCACACTTTGATGTGTATGGGGAGATCCTGAAACCGATATTCCACAGACACTAATGTACAACAACTTAAGCACAATGTCATCTAACATAGAAACACAGACAAGAAAATTCAATTACTTTAATAGTTACAATAGTGTGTACGCCACAAATTCCATATTCATAGAACAAGGGCACACGTGAGTGCACACGCACACGTGCACACACACGAGCATGCACACATGCATTCACACTTACACCCACCCACGCAGGCATGTGCACATAGGTGATGAGCACACACGCACCACCACCAACTACTGCTACAAGGAGGTTACCATAGGTAATAAACCAATGAGTATGGCTGTGCCATTAAAACCTTACTGATTGAACAAGTGGATGTAATGTGATGGGTGATGTTGCTCTGTGTGCTGTGAATATGTAGCTCTGGTTGGCTGATAAGTAAAACACTGATTGGCCAGTAACCAGGCATGAAGATAGGTGGGATAAGCCGACAAGGAGAATTCTGGGAGAGGAAGGCTGAGTCAGGAAAGGCCAGCCCGCTGTCCAGGGAGCAGCATGTAATGGCACACAGGTAAAGCCCACAGAACATGTGGCAACATATAGATTAACAGAAATGGGCTGCGTTTAAGTGTAAGAGCTAGTCAGTGGTAGGCCTGAGCTAATGGCCGAGCAGTTTTAATTAATAGAAGCCTCTGTGTGTTTACTTGGGGGATTTGTCCCAACCACGGGCCAGGCAGGACACAGATAAACCTTCAGCTACAGTAATGTGCTAACTGTTCCTTAGAAGGCTAGGAAGGCCAGGTGAGGGACTCTGAGGACCCTCCTGTCAAAAAACAGCGCAGAAACAGGCAACGTTGTCACATTAGTCAATTCACCCAGCAGACACTGAGCAGAGCCCAGCACACACAGCAGGATTGTCAGACGTTAAAATCAAGAGGTAGCAGCTAGAGAAAGGGTTCAGTGGTTAACAGCACTTACAGTTTCACAAAGGATCAGGGTTAAGTTCCCAGCATCTACCTGGTAGCTTACAAGTGTCTGTAACTCCAGCTCCAGGGGAGATAAGGTCCTCTTCTGGCCTCTGAGGGCACTGCATGTATGTGGTATGCATAAATACATGCAGGCAAAATACTCATAAACACACACACACACACACACACACACACACACACACACACACAAAATTCCTTAAATCTAAAAAAAAAAAATTAAAAAACCCAGACCTAAGCTGGGTGTGTAATCCTAGTGCTCAGGAGTCTGAGGAAAAGGATCTCAAATTCAAAGGCGGCCTGGGCTGCACACTATATACAGCAAGTCTTTTTCTCAAAAACCAAAAGCAAGCAAACAAAACAGATGCCCCAGGGAGATGACATTTCTCACTAACCACTGTTCTTGAAAGGCAAGTGTTTCTTCCTCGCAGAAACAGCTTCCACTCTAAAATGGGGTCCGTCTTCAGAGTGGGTACCCACACGAGGTTCTCTAGCGGCGTCTCTCTCAATGGCCTAGAGCAAAGGACCTTTGAGGACCTGGCAGTCCCCTAGAGGTACTGGTGCGGGCTGAAGTCACCAAGCCGAAGAAGTGACTAGTCGACTTAGTCGGGGTCACTACCGCTGTGATAAAACAGCGTGAGCAAATGCAACTTGGGGAGGAAAGGGTTTATTTGGCTTACACTTCCACATCATTGTCCATCACTGAGGAAGTCAGGACAGGAACTCAAGCAGGGCAGGATCCCAGAGGCAGGAGCTGATGCAGAGGACACGGAGGGATGCTGCTTACTGACTTGCTTCCCATGGCTTCCTCAACCTACTTTCTTATAGAACCCAGGTCCACCAGCCAAGGGATGGCCCCACCCACAATAGGGAGGGGCCCTTCCTCACCAATCACTAATTAAGAAGATGCTCCACAAGCTTACGTGCAGCATGATCTTCCAGAGGCATTTTCTCAGTGGAGGCTCCCTCCTCTCCGACGATGATTATGCCTCATGTCAAGCTGACGGAAAGCTAGCCAGCACACTGGTCCACCAGGGAAAATCCCAACCTACAACTTAACGATCACTCCCACCCTCAGCCTTGAATTTCTACCTGCTGACTGGCCAGAAAGGGACCAGGTCCGCTCTGCCCCATGCAGAGCAAATCCTCAAAATCCACCTTCAAAATGAACCCAGGGTCTGTCTGCTTCTCACCCCATCCATCACCTGCATCCTCGTCATGTCAGTTCCTACTCGCTCTCCCCGACTCTGCTCCTTTCTTGCAAATCCTGCAAGCTGACCCTGTGACCACCACAGATACACACTTGCAAACACAACACACACACACACACACACACACACACACACACACACAAATAAAGGAAAACTGACATTAGTTCTTCTTTAGAGAACCAGTTAATAATGCAGGGCAAATGGCAGAATCCAAATACCATCTGTTTGCTACTCTGAAGGAAAGATCACACCTATCATCAATCCCAGATCATCAATGGCTTCACAGTGGTGTAGAGAAAAGCTGATACGGTTCTAGTGACAGATGGATGGACTGTCAGTATCTACCATTACTAACAATTAAAAAGGGGCATTACACCACAGTCTATGCAACATTCTTGTTCCAAGTTTTATTCATGCATTCAACATAGTTGCACACTTGTTTCCCAGACTCTCCTTGAACTCCTGGGCTCAAGCAATCCTCCCATTTCCGCTTCCTGAGTCACTGGAACTCAGTATGTGTCACCATGGCCGGCTGTTGGCCCCCAGTGTGGAACTGAATCTGACCATGTCTTTATGAAAGACATCAGGGGACAAGGGAAGTGTGTGAGGGCACCGATCGACAACAGCAGCGATGCAATCCACTCTGTGGAGACACTGCGGGACAAATGCACTGCGCGAGGGGAGGGGGCAGGAGGACAAGGAAGGAGGAGCCAGACTCCGAAATGTAAGTCAAGACCTCACAGCGAGCACTCCCATAGTCCCATACTAGGGATCTGGAAGCAGAAGAATTGAGTTCTAAACCAGCCTGAGCTACATAGAGAGACCTTGTCTTAGAGCAGTGGTCCTCAACCTTCCTGATGCTGCGACCCTTCGATACAGTTCCTCGTGTTGCGGTGACCCCTCCCCAATCCATAAAAATTATTCCATTTCTACTTCATAGCTGTAATTTTGCTACTGTTATGAATCATAATGCAAATATCTGATATGCACAATATCTGATACACAACCCCTGTGAAGGCCGCATTGGAACCCCCAAAGTGCTTACACTCCACGGGTTGAGAATCACTGTCATAGAGAGAAGGGCATGTGAGATCAACCCCATGCAGTGTGAATGTTTAGGGTCTTGGATTGTGCTTAGATATTTTTACCAACTGAAAACAGCTCTGAGACACCAACGAGCAGAGACACTGAAAAATGAAGTCTTGCTCATTTTCCTGACAACAGGATTATGATGATGTTGAGGCAAAAGAAGCCGGATCACTTTGGAGAAATATTTATACCTAGAACTGATTTCAGTCCTTCAGTCCTCTCTGTATTGTTCTTCGGGCAACTGTACAAATGACTGCAGCTGTCCTGACCACACAGAATCTCTATTGTTGTTGTTGTTGTTGTTGTTTTAATACCCTTAAGAACAATGTCTAGAAGGAAGAGCAGGGTGGGAGCTAATTAACACAAACATTAACTGGGGGCTTTCTGAATGTTTCTGTATACTCACAGTGGCCCTAGGAAGTCCTTCGAGGCACAGGGCCAGCATGTAGGAGAACATAACTACTCACCATTCGGAGTTCAAGCTTCGAAACGTGTGAACGTCCAGAATGCTGTAGGAGCTCAAGCTTCGGAAAGTGTCAACACCCAGAATGCAGCTGTCAACCTAGAAGTTCACAAGAAAAGGCTCTGAGTGACAAACGGCTGTCCCAAGCCCATGCACCTCGTTTCATAAGCAAAAAAAGGAAAGAAAAGGACATAGCGGCACAGTACTGCATCAGTCGAGGAATCTATAAGGCCACCACAGCAGGGCAGCCATGATGGAGAGGATGCCGGGGGCTTAGGAGTGGAGACAAGTCATCTAGAACTCTCCACAAAGCGAGACACAGAGAACCCACCCTAGTGACATCGCCCCATTCCACCTGCCGGAGGAACAGCATCCTGGAGTCAGCCACGTGCATCCACCAGGCTCGCAGTCCTACTAAAGAGAGCAAGAAAAGGCCAGGCATGGTGTTACAGGCCTGGAGTCTCAGCTAGTCAAGAGACTGAAGCAGGGAGGTCACGTTAGTCCAAGAGTTCGGGGTCACTAGGCAACAGAGCTCAAGACCCAACACTTAAATAATAAAATAAAAGGCAAGAGGGTAATACATGTGCATTTTTATTTAGATGACTGGAATTTTCAAAGCAAATGTATGATCTCTTAAAAAGGAAGGGAACAAATAGCAAAGAAAGAGAACTGAGACAAATCAGTCCAAGTAAAGTGAGATTTCACACTGAAGAAGACCAAGGCCAGGCTGCTTTCCGATGAGAATCGGGCCGCAAGGGTTGACAGGCCGCTGTGGTGAGTAGTGAACTTCACATTGCTCTCAGTATTGGGTCAGGCTGGACCAGACATGATTGCCAATGGGTAACATTTTAAAAAATACTGTTTGGACATATTTCTTAGATGGTTAGGGCAAGCCGACTTCATCCAGGAGGACAGCAATGGACAGATACTAACCCTCTAGAAGAAGGGGATGGACAGGGCTCAGCTGAGAACGGGGAGGACAGCTGGGGGTGGGAGGTGTAAAGAGTGGGGTGGGAGGTCAGCGGGCGGAAAACTACAGGGGGGAACATCAATGTCGGACAGCTTCGTGCTGGAGGCAGGCCCAGGACCTAGACAAAGGAGGGGGAAGGATAACTCCTCAGACGCCGAAGGTGATCAGTTATAACCTGGGGGGATCTCAGGAATTGATTTAGCAGGGCTGTGCTAAAACTGCACAGCAAACCAAGGGTAAGTTGAGGCCTAATTTTTAAAATGTTCAAAAGAGCCTGACTTAAGATATAGAATCTCTATCAAGAACAGCTTAAGCAGAGACCCTGACTCCAGAGGGGCTCCAGAGGGGCTCCGCCACCTTCCCAGGCCTGCAGAGAGACGATCTTGGCGAGAAGGTAGTTCAATTCAACAAGGTTTAGTAACTGGTATTGGTTCAAACTTCTGAAGTCTGACCCTGGGTAGTTTATTTTAGGTATATTCAAGAACAGTACAATTTGGTGAACATTATTCTGGTGATAATTAAGTCAATCCCGTGTGCACAAAAAGCGTACATGAATCTCTCTGAGGAACAAAGCAACCAAATACAGATCAGATGTGACCACTTCAAAACCTTGTGTAAAGTCCATAAAGATAGGTTCTATAGACAAACTAGAAAACAAATTTACATTAGGAGTCTGGGGGAAGATGCCCCAGAAAAAGGTTCTGGAAAAGTCTCTATGCGCCCAGGGAGAGCCAAAGTCCCCAGACTAGTAAACACATCTGCTCCCAGATTTCTGGACAGACTAGAGGTACAGCGTTCCTTCCCTCAAAGGAACAACTCTGTGTGTTCAACATTCCAGGTTCCCCTGGTGTTTATCTGTGAGCACAAGGACCTCCATGTTTCCCACATTCTAGAAGATACCTTGGTATTTTAACACAGCAGCCCAAGAGTAACCAACCAACACTGAGAAGAAAAAATCAAAATTTAATGCCTGGATCTAAAACGTCCCAAAAAATCCAAGAAACTTTCGATCATGGTCAGAATTACAAAACTCCCCTAGCACACAGCCTAAGCAACTTCCGCATCAGCCAGACCCCATTTAACAGATGGACAAAATGCTCTCCTTGCATCCTCAAGTGTGACATACACACAGGTTATCGAAGATCGACAAGAGTGTGGGGGTGCGCACCTTTAGTCCCAGCACTCAGGAGGTAGAGGCAGGTGGATCTCTGTGAGTTCCAGACCAGCTAGGGCTACATAGTGAGAGCCTGTCTTTAAAAGGGAAAAAAAAAAAATCTACAAGGGCAAATGTGCTAAATATTCTCTCTTATCTCTGTCAGCAATGATCTGTTCCCAAGGCAGCCCTCCCTCCCTGGGCCCTGTGCAAGCCCAGAAGAAGCCATGATAGGGAAGGCAGGAAGCTGATCCTGCTTCCTTCCTGCTGGGTCACCTGGGGTCTGACCATCATATGGTTTCTCTCAAGCCACCTGTCCCTCTGTGTCAGTTACAGCGGATGAAGAAGGGACTTCTTCTTACAAGCCCCATGTCCCTCGTTCCCTTCTTGGCCTTCATAACTCTATGGCCACCTTCATCCAATCATCTAGTCACCTCTTTAAGTATACTATATAGTTTCCTGTCCAGTCTGACAGGAACACGGACAGACAGAAGGCAGAGAATCTGAAATTCAAATTTCCATATGTGCTCTCAACCATAGGAGGTAAGACAGACAGACAGACAAGAAAGGAAGGGAGGGAGGGAAGGAGGGAG